ATATGTATAAGCACACTTTTAATACAGAGTATGATAATTAAGACAGAGTATGTATGAATTATTGGTCATTTTAATTAATTGACGCGTGATTCTGTTCATTCCTTTCATATTCTAAAAAAAAAAGTATAAGCACACTTATAGCAGGTTTCACAAGATCAAAAGCACAGAAGAATTAAAAACAAGAAAACTAGGTAAATGAGAGTTTAAGAACCTGGTAATTTCGGAACCAAATGTGGTCATCAACAATAGAGAAAACAAATACATGATCGTGATAAGGCTTAGATTTCCTGTGATCCTTGGGTGTTCCAAAAATCTGGTAATAAAAAGAAAACAAAGAGAGATAAGACTTCTCTACAGCATAAGAATCTTATTTTTTCAAATATCTTACAGAATGCCATTCACCTCTTCATAACTACTCACACTTATAAGAGGCATCTTATCCTTATTTTAGTTTTTTAAATACTGAAACATTTCAAATTGAGTCGTAACTCGTAAGGTTACTATTCGTTGGTGAAATGCAATTATTTTTTATACTCAAATTTTGGGTATCAGTTTTCTATTAAATTCGAAATCGCTTTTTGCGTTTGAATAGAACATCTAGTGCAGTTTCTAATTAAATGAGTGTTAATTATTAGCACTAACTGAAATATTGGTAGGGGGAGATGAACCCTAAAATAACATAATTTCCACACCAATTAGGGACGTGGGTGTATAAATACAGTAAAAATGAGGTCAAATTCAAGAACATGACTACTATGTTTTTCCCAAATAGGAGTAAATTATTGTCATCCTGAAATCATACTGCTATAATTTGGCATTGACATGCATTAATATGGCACTATCAATGACATAATTGGCAACATTTTTCAATCATGACAGTACTTACAACTACCTCCATCCCATATTGAATATCTTGTTTTAATATGGCACAATTATTAATAAAATGGTTAAGAAGTAAAAGTTGTGGTAGAGATTTTAATAGAATAAGGTGAACTGAAATGAATGACAAATTTGTTGCCAAAAGGAAAATAGGAGATTCATTTCGGGACACACAAAAAGGAAAGTAAGACAAACAAAATGGGACGGAGGGAGTACTAATTAGGAGGGAAGCATAGTACTTATATTTTTCGAATTTGACATTGTCTTACTCCTACTTAAGACAAATTCTTTTTTATTTACTCACTAATGCTGCCTTTCTATGGTTGCACTGATTAACACAAAAATGTATGACATGGAAGCAGTGAAAATCTGTGGTTAAACAATAAACTGGAGGTTTTATTGTACTACAACTACTATTTATAATCTACAAGAAGAAGTTGTCATTTACATATACTGAGCATTTGATTAGAACTCAAAGCAGATAGAGTTAATGAGAGCTAGAATCTGATTCATCAAAAGAATTTTCTGCGTGAGTTTGACGATCGCCATAAACAACTTTAGTTCAAGTGAAAACTGAAAATACCTGGGATAGCATTTCTTTCAAAAGCACCCAATGTGGATGTTTATCGAAATTGCTTGAGAATGTTAGGATAGGGCGTGAGCCTTTCAAATGATTACCAGTAAGCTTCAACTCTTCCATCGTGTGCACTGCACAAAATATTTACTAATTCATATTAGAGGCATGATGAGGGATGGTTTTCATTTCAAAATGTCCACAAACTATGTTTTTAATGAAAAACAGGAAACATAACATTGATCTATGGCACATTATTACCTGCATTTACTAGAAACTTCACAGATGGACCGTTAGGGCACTTGGACATCCACAAATAAAGGTCTTTTCCTTTCCGGCACTGAGAAAATGGAGAATGGAAAACCCTTTAGATATGTGTGTGGGGGATCATTGAAAAGTGCTCTTAACATGGAAATTGAAAATGAATAAGCTATATTAGAGTATACATTGAAGGTCTCAGGAAATTAGGAAAAATTAATAAAAGAACGCGGGGCAAAATTGCAAATAAGTGCAACTTCTGCTATGGTCAAAGTACACATGCACTTTCTGATGCTGAAAGTTTAGCTGCATGTTGTTAAAGCTGCACAGTTTTTTCATTTTGTGCATTTTCGTTTTAATATTTGAACCATTCCCTATATGCACATATTCATTCATTCAAACATACATACAAGATATATACCTACATACTGACATACATATATGATATACATATATAATGCATATACTTATATAGATACACAGACATATGAACCATTGCCATAAATATTAGGCAAGGCATAGAAATTCAAATGCAAACTCTGTTTTGTAAATTAAAATAATGAAAGGCTAAGACAAGAAAGTGCAAAATATTTAAACAGGCATATGATAAAACTAACTGTATGCTTATAAAAGACAAGTTACACATTAAGACAAGAAAGTGGTAACAAATACCTCAAAAAACAAACAAGATGAACAGTTCTTTAGCTCAACCAGCTCGTTCAAGGTCGCACCTTTACTGTTCTTTGACTCCACTTTATTGTCTTTCTTACAATGAGGCAAGAGTGACACCAAATTCAACATCAGATGCCGATACCTGAAAATCCATAATATTGAAGTGAACCAAACTAAATAACATTAAAACATGAAATTATAGAAGAAACCCAATTATAAACAAAAACAAAAGAGTTAACTTTAACCTGTAGCTGATACGTCGAGAAGAGGTGACTAAAACCTTCTCTTTATTTCTGAAAACACCCACAGAATTGCTTTCTTTCTTCTGTACACCTCCCTCTTTCCATCCCAAAAGAGTTCTTTTAGGTCTTTCCTCAGTCACCGGCTCAATATCGGCGGCGACGGTGGCCTCCACCTGCTTTCGCTTCTTTCCCATGTCTCTTTCGACCCCCTGCTACAAATTTTTGAGCGGACTATCGAATGGATGACGGAGTCCGTAGAAGGTCAAACCCTGAGCCATTTTAATTGTTCTTGGGCTTTAAATATAACATGGTCGTTACAAATTTTTGGGCCCGAGTTCTACTGCTGAATACCCAGGTCCTACTTTCTAAAAACAACTTGGGTTGTCCTAGTTCCTAAATGGACTTTTTTGAGGAAGTCTAAGAGACTAAGAATAGGTCTCCCGTACCCGAAGATAAAAAAATTAAAAGAAATATACTCCATCCGGTTCTAAAACAAGTTCCGGTTTTTACTTCACATATATTAAGAAAATAAAGTTGACTTTATTGTGGAGTGCATTATTTGACATTGTTTGGACACGGTTTGATACTGTTTTGCACTGTTTTGATATAGATAATTTGTCAAATAAAGAAAATTGTTTGAAAGTAGAACTTAATTTTGGTACTGCCCAAAAAGGAAAGGTGGAGCTTGTTTCCGGGACGGAGGTAGTACGAAAAACAAATCACAAAAAGTATGGACCCATTTATTAACAGAAATATTTTCTATTTTTTGATATAATTGGAAAACTGGAGAAAGATAAATTGGAAAACATATTTACCTGTTTATTCTCCGAAATTGAAAAAATAGAGTCATGTTTCAGATTTTCTTCCTAATTTTTTTGCATAATTTTCTTCTTAAGTTGGAGAACTCACTTTTCGATGATTTCTAAAATGGAAATACACAGCGCTGCACTGTGTCTTGTTTTTGTTTCGCGCTCAGGTATCTGATTGGGGTAACTTTTTATAAAACTACATATTTTTAATATCTATGCAACGGCATATGTTGAATAATACTTATTATATTTTATTTATTACATTTTTATAGAGTAAATTAATTTTGTACCTATATGACATTAGGAAAAGAAAGTGGCTCTATGAGTAGATATTAGGAAAGTTTTGTACCTATATGATATTTTTTAGAGTAAAACTTCTTAATGTGTAACTTGTCCTTTGTATCATATGCCTGTTTATCATATGTTGAATAATACCTATTAGATTAGGAAAATCAATTTTCACATTTTGTCAATCTAATTTTGTACGGGAGTATACTTTTTGACGGCTCTAGTAAAAGTAAATCATAGTTTAGATTGTTTAGCGGTATTTAGCACACTTTCGCAATATGTGTGACCAAAACTTTGTAACTATTATTACGAAATGAAGGTACGATATTACGTTAGATTCTCATTGTAAAACTATGACATATGTGGGGGGTGATCCCCTGAATGTTAAGAACGTTAAATACAATGACACATAAGGAGCGTGAGAATGAAATTGAACATGGAGATGAAACGTGAACTTGAAATATGTTGGTAATCTATTGGAGAGTGCATGGGATTATGAAAGAGTCTATTTGACATTTTTCATAAATGACCCCCAAAACATTACTTAGTAGGCTCACATAAGATTTGTGATGTCATCATTGTAAATCATCTTCATTTTGATCATATTTATGTAATTATTTTCATTATAAAACAAATAAAGATTTGGGGAGAGGGTGATGAACCGGCTCGCGCGGCCAATCTGAGCAAGTAGTTGCACTTCAACGGTGAGGCAGTTGGGATTAGGGAGGCTTTGAGTTGGGCGAAGGAGAACCGATGCAATTGCGTAGATTTGAAGTCTGATGTGTTGCTGGTTATTTCAACAATCCAAAAGGGTGGAGATCGGTCTCAACTTGGTTTGATTGTAGATGATATTCATGTAATCAATGGTGGCCCTAGGGCGGGTGCAACAGGGTCTCCTCCAACTTCTAACAAATCTGATTCTAAAAGTAAATTAGAGTATCAGAAATACTTCTACATTTTCTGCTACCTAAAGGAGCAAAAACAATTTTAAGAATCATATCCAAACAGTCCTTAGTAGCATATCGGCCGACTTTATTAGATGGTCCACGAATAGCAATTTGTATGTCTGGTTATCAATCTTGGTTTTGATTTCCTCCTAATTGCATCATCGACACACTAAACTATGATCTGGCTAAAAAAAGTTGATTTTATTTTTATTTTTAAATATTTTAAAAAAAAAAATTAGAAAATTTCAAGGACACGCGTGGGTCTTCTTATGAAATCTTATGGGTATCATGAACTAACTGCTCATTTTTGTGATAGGTTTGAAAAAGAATGAATGGTTAATGTTGTCTCAATATACTTGACATCCATAAAAACTACCAAAAAATTTAACGAAATCTATACAACTCTGTTGTAGAATGTAGATTTATAAAAGATATTGTGAGACCATCATCACTATTCATTTTTAGTGAGTTCTGGAAAAAATTAATGGTGATGATGGCAACACTACCACTAATGACTTTATAAGAAAATTATACCAATGTCAATAAATCTAGTCATAAAACTTCTCACATAAAAATATGGAGTAGTCGTTGTACACATAACTATATACGATAATATTCATTATTTTGTACAAACCATTTCATGGAGTGATAAATTCTTCCAATTAATGAGACAACCAATCCGACCTGTTCTTGACCAGAAGAAAAACAACCCCATGGGGCCCATCATCATCAACGCGCCACCCACCCAAATCAATGACGCTTCCTTCCTCACCCACAAACAACCGGTCTGGGTGAAGGGATTCGGATGCAGCTCAGGCTGCTTCCCTGCGCTCCCGAACACTCCGGCGGCGGCCTCTGCATTTGCCTTCCCGGAATGCAATTCAGGGAGAAGTCGAACCCCACATTCCTTACAGGAAGCCTCTCACAATCTTGACTCAGCCCAGAGAAGAAATTGTACGATATGGTCAAATTCATCAGTCTCTTCAGTGAGCAAACTATGTCTGTCAACTCCCCAGAGAATCTGTTGTTTGCCAAATTGAGAACCTCAATCCCGCTCAGGCATGAGATGGTGTCTGGCAAATGGCCCGTCAGCCCGTTTGAGCTCACATCAAGAACTTCCAGATCTGTCCACAGCCCAACCCCTTCAGGGATGCAGCCTGTCAGCTGGTTGTTCAGGAACAGAATCTCCTTCACCCCCATGTACCCTAGACTGAAGGGTATGCTGCCAGAAACCCTGTTATTGGCCAAATTGATGACAGAAGCCGGAGAGTTCCCCAGATTTTGAGGAATTTCTCCACTGAACTGGTTGTTGTTGAGAAAGAGTGCATCCAGCTTCTTGTTGAACACGTCCTCGGGAATGGGTCCGGAGAAAGAATTGAATCTGAGGTCTAAGTAGATGAGGTTTGGGATGAGGAGGACACTGGAGGGAAATGGGCCTGAGAACTGGTTGTTGCTCAGGTCAAGCTCGGTCAACGAGGCAAGATTTCTGAAGGTTTCTGGGATTGTGCCTGAGAATCTGTTGGTGTTGAGGTGGAGGAGGGAGAGGTCTGTGAGCAAAGACAGCTCTTTTACAAGAAATCCCTTGAGGTTGGCATGGTTGAGATCTATACCTGCAACAACTTGCTTTGGGTAGCTGCCCATGGAGTCTTCTTGAGAATCTGAGCAGAAAACCCCTTTGTATGAACATACATTTGGGCCAACCCAAGAGCTCGTAATAATCCCCAATGGGTCCTCAGAAATGGCAGATTTCCATGCTTGGAGTGCTGTGTAAGCACTCTGCAGCCCTGAAGATCCTGTTGGAGGACCTGGGCTGTTGATCCCGCCACCAACCCAAACACCGCCACCGCCGCCGCCTATTCCGAATCCAACTCCAGCACCACCGCCAGCACCAACAGTCATTGCAGCCTCAGTAATGGCAATGCCATGAAGTAGAAAAGCGGAGATGATCCAGATTGTTGCCATTGTTTTCATTAACTGTCTTGGATTCTGCTACTTATTTTAGAGGACTTCCTTTTGCAAGGGTGTCGATATGTGGTTGCTGCATTGAATCATTGATGATGGGTTGGGCCGGAGAAGTAATGGCATCATGGGTCGTGTAAATTAATGGCGACAACTCCGGTACCCATTTAAAAAATGGGGTACCGTACCTACCACTCACATGATTGGTCCAAATCATTAAATCATTTTTAATTTAGATTTAAATAATTCAACTGCAACATTTTGATTGGTCAAAGTGGACAAAAGTATGATACCTTTTGGGTAACATATAATCTACCTAAATTAATACCTTTCTTTGATAAATAAAAATGAACCTTCACTGTAAGTTAAAGTATAAAAGTAACCAACCCAAGTCCCAAACTAGACAGACTCAGTCAGACAGTGAACTATTGTCTTCAGTTGGGACACGTAGGAAATTTGGGTTGAGAAACCGTGATTGACTTTTAATTCCATTCTTTATTACTTGTCCGCAAACCTGTTTGTTTGGGGTTAACCTAAGTTATTGAAGGTTTAATTTCTAGTTAATCCCGTTTGTTTGTATTTTTGCAACAATAATCTATGTTATGTGTTAACCTCACTTAACTCACGAGAATCTGAAATAACCTTAAATTGAAGAACCTCTGAATCAGAGGTTTTGGAAATTAAGATCTCATTTAACATAAAATGAGTTAGAGTACCTTCACCAAACAACACTTATTACATTAATCTAGGTTCACCTTCTATATTTCCAAACACTATTTTACGTATGGACCTAGGTTCACTTAGATTAACCTAGTTTTTATTAAAACTTAGGTTTACTTTATTGCACTAGGTTTACTTAACTCCACTCTATCTAAACAGAGCATTAAAGTTTTAGATTCTATGAGAAAAATAACAGGAGTACTATAGAAGGTGTAGCGTAAATGAAAAAACAGAAAAGATAATATATTAAGAAGAGTAAATTAGTGATAATGTAGAAAAGAGAAAGTAGTATGTCAAAAGAAAAAATGGTAATGGTAATAAAATTGGAGTATATAAGTATATTTATTGAGTAAAACGAACTCCGTAGAGAGCTCCTAGGGCAAAGCCGCCGCTAGGTTATTTCCGATTTCGATCTTTCTTGATCGAAGTTCGGCCAGTGTTTCCCTAGCGAGATTTCTCGCGTAGGGTTTATTCTTCGCCGCCTCGATACAGCGTTTCTTTCAATCGACGCATCACTGCGCCAGATTGTCATGGTTTGGAAGTCGCTCGGGATGGATGATCGTGACAACGAGAAGATGGTGGAAGAAGCGAGAGAGAGACGTACGGATGATCGGGACATGGTTAGCGTGGAGAGGCTGAACGCTCCATTCGATGGCATGTATTTGTATTATACGGCGGGTACGCCACTGAAAGAGGGTATCAATCGAGCGACGGTCCGGCCTCCGCCTGAACCACCACCATGGGTTGTACGAGGTGCTAGAGTCCGTGAAAGTTTTCCTAGTAATTTTTTTCTATTTGTCATTTGTTTTCTCGTGTTCATCTTTGTTGTTGGTTTTGACAATTTCTTTGAGTTTTTAGCCTCTCTTTATGTCATTGGATATAGTTAGATCTATGGGAACAGGTTTGACTGTGTCAAGCTCACTACATGGTTAGCGATTCGTATTGCTCTTTCAGGGGTGACCGTTTCAAAGTCTCACCATAGGGTTACAGTCGTAATTGTTGGAGTTTCAGTTGGTGTCAGTTTTATTTTCCCTTTGCTTGATGTAATGATCCTGGATCTTTTGATATGAATAGAGGCCTGTTTTGATGATAAAGAAAGTATATTTGTTGGAAAAACTTTCCAAAACACAAAAAGAAGAACAACTAATAAAAAATGTATCAAAATAGAATAAGAGACAATTATTAAAGAACGGAGGAAGTAGTACCTACATAAATAGGCTATATTTTAAAAAATAGCTAGTTTTTCTTTTCTCGAAAATTGCGATTAATATATGTTCAGTAAATTCAAATTTCTACTCCTAATAATCTTTATTTAATGTTTGCCCCCAAACAACCCCTACGCAACTGCCGCCGTAAAGGTACAGGAAAAATTTTGATCATATTTTTTTTGTTCAGATCAGTTTTAATACGAAAATAATCACAATATTGGAATCATTATACAAAACTTAATTTATTAAGATTTGTCCGGATTATATCTAAAAAATCAAGAACTAATATAGAACCAAACCAAATCCAAATGATTTGTTTCTTGATTTTATCGGTTAGTAAAAAACTTTTCCCATTTAAAAACTAGTGTTTTTTTACAAGAATATTATTAAAATAAAACATATTTACATAAATATGATTATTCATTACTACAATGTGGTGTTGTGGTAAGTATTCAATAAAATTGAAAGTAATGGGTTGCCAGTTTTCTCTAGGGTTAGCGGCTGCTAACCCTTAGCATCGGATCGTCCGCCTTCGTCTTTACGAGGTGCACGTTTATTGGTTAGAGGGGCGGTGGTTGCAGGGGCGAGTTCGGAGTGGGTGTTAGGGCCGTGGTCTTGGCTGTTTAAAGCAGGGATCTTGGGCAGGCAGGGTTAAGGTCGAGAGGGGCCGGCTGGAAGAGCAATTTTCCGGCGAAGAATTCCTGTTAATGGAAAGTGTTGTGGACCGCTACAAGCAAATGGCAATCAGGGATGACGAGACAGAGATTAACCTTGAATTTGGCGAGCTTGAGGACGTTCCGGCAGAGGAGGTGGAAGCGGGTTTCCCCGTGATCGGGCAGGTGCTGACAGATCGCAAAGTCCGGTTCTCGGAGCTGAAAGAGCAGATGTTTGCTCTATGGAGGCCAGGGAAAGGTATGTCAGTTAAAGAAATCGGGGAAAAGATGTATCTTTTTCCTTTAACCATCGTTTTGACATGAAGCGTGTTCTGGAAGGAGGCCCTTGGCAGTATGAACGTAGCTTGGTTTTGCTTAAAGAAAGTATGCCTGATGATATACCACACAAAATTATTTTGAATGAGGCTGGATTTTGGGTCCAGATTCATAACGTTCCTTATAGTTTGGTAAATCTGGGCACCGCTAGACGTGTTGGAAGTTTTTTAGGAGAATTTGTTAAATATGATGATTATCAGAAAAAAGAAAAAGTAGAGCCATACATGCATGTTAAGGTCCTTATGAAGATGGATAAATCACTGAAGAAGGGGACTAATCTGAAAAAAGATGGTAAAAGTTTGTGGGTGGATTTTAAATATGAAAGGTTGCCCACCTTTTGCTTAATATGTGGTTTGGTTGGTCATTCAGATAATTTTTGTCGCCTAAACTATGAAGAAGGACTGGTTTTGGAAAAAAGATTTGGATCTCATCTTAGAGCAGGTAGCGGGGTGAAGACTAGCCCGACAGGAGGGAGAGCCTGGCTTCTGGAGGGTTCATCGAGCTCTGGCAAATCGGGGGGCGGACTGGGGGCATCCAGATCAGAAGTAAAGATGACAGACAAGGAGAAAGGGTCAAGGACGGAATCTGCTCAAAGCTTCACACAAGGTGGGGAGGAGGACATCATGGTCACAGATGGGACAAAAAACGGGGTGGAGGCGGGCTTGGTTCCTTATGCCCGCCGAATACACTGGTTGAAGGTGTGAGACCGAAAACTGGAAGACTGGTTCTAGTTGTCTGGCGGCGAAAAGGGTGTTATTTATTCTGTGTTATTTACTGTTTCATCAACTTTAGTTTTTGTTTTGGTTTTTGTTTCTGTTTTCCTGTTCTGGTATGTAAGACGTTGATTTTGGATGTGAGGGATGAGAGGAATTTGGTAACCGTGTTAGGCTTTGTTTTTCCCGGTTATGGATCAACGAATTATATTGCTACGGTGAGTAATTCCAAGTCTGGTTCGAGAGATAATGGTTATCAGCTTCTTTTTTGTCAGTTGACCCATACTCTGAATTATTATTGGTTATTAAGCTAAGCCGAATTCAGTAAAAAAAAAACAATGTGGTGTTGTGGTAACTTAAGCTCAAATTTTGAACATAAATTACTATAATTTCATTACTACTGTAGTCATTAATCATATTTTTGTAAATCATCTTTATTTTGGTCATATTTCTAAAAAGTAACACAATTTACTTTCTATCATAAACAACATTTAAAATTCATAACACAATAAATATTTATTGAAACTCTCATAACTTTAAACATCAAGTTCCAAATTTAATTTAGTGAACACGTAATAGAATTGAAGAACTTCTTCATTTTCGTTTGTAAATAAAACAGGTTAAAGAATCAAATACGCCTGTGTACCCTTTTAGGTTGTTTAATTTTTTCACCCTAAACTCAAAAATTCTCAATTGGCAATCTAAATTCGACAAAAAGATTCAAATTTCACTTTTTACAGGTTATAATTCGATCACCGCCACATCACCTAATAGGCAACCAACTGTACATTTACGTGGCACCACAAGGTCAAATAAACCCCTGAAACCTACTGAATTGTTCAATTCACCCCCTCAACAATTTAAAAATCAAAATACGAAAAATAGAAATAGAAAATAAAATATAAGTCGAAAATACAAAATATAAATATGAATATTAATATATTCTTCGGTAAATGCAAAATAATGAAATAAAATATAAACTAAAAGAAAGTACGGAGTAATTCTTAAACTTTATTTCCAAATCATATATTTATATTTTTTTGTAAAAAATGTAACAATTATGTGTACATACACGAGTCTATATAAAGTACCAAATCAGCCCTCAAACTAACACCGGTAATGCAAATCACCCCCTAAAGTATAAAAACGTGCAATGGTGCAACCAAATTCTCCAAGTCAATTTGCACTATATCGCCGAGTTGGAGAATTTTGTTGCAGTTTGTTTTTTTAATTTAAGGGGTCATTTGCACTATATCGCTGAGTTGGAGGTCCTGCTTGCACGTTTTTATAATTTAGAGGGTAATTTGCACTATTGATATTAGTTCAATGGTTGATTCCTAGCTAGAGGTAAGCTTAATCCACAATACATATGTCCGTTTGAAATCCTTGAGAGGGTTGGAGTTGTGGTCTACCGACTAAAGTTGACACTTGAACTTGAGAAAATT